TTAATTCTGGTTTGGGATTCTTCCAGTCCAGCTGCCTTGCAAATTCTTTAATTGGCAGTTGTCGTTTTTTCTTAATGTGTCCTCCTTAATTGGAGCTTTCATCCTGGGAAGGAAACTTCAGTTTGCCACCAGACGGGATGCAGAATATGATACAAATTAGCTGCTTTTAAGACAATGGAGATGCATATGTGAACAATGTTCATTGAACAAGTAATTGTTCTGTTTTAATACTGGGAGGCTGAAATGTATCTTTCTCTTGCTCAATGTCTTTTCAGTTTATCCCATACTGTTCGCTATTGTCTTTCTATGGAAGGCTACAGAACTTTGTGTATAATGGTCCTCAGCAAGTCAGTGAATTGTAGTGACTATTTTTCTTTATATACAGTTGTTGTTTAGCATTTGCATTAGTCCAGTTTCCCTAGCATTTGAAGATTATTGGTGGGGGACATAACATCATATTCATGAGACATTCATTGAGATTTATTCTGTAGAAACATGCACATGACTGGTAGGTGTTAATCACTGTTCTCTTGAAACCATCCACATTACTGTATTTTCCCATTTATAACATGCCCCCATTTGTAACAGCACCCCCCCCAACACTTTTCTAACCCAAAAACTGAGAAAGCTTAGCTTTGAGAGCCTCTGGGCTCAGAACATTGGATGTTTTGAGTCTCTGTTGAATCTGAACCTACAGACTCCACCTCCAAGGAGGTGTGTTCCAATTGGTATCTTCAGGATCAGCTGACATCACTTCCATAAGGCTCATGATTGGAGGAAGCTAAACCTCATGACTGAAGCCTGTTGCCATTTTGTTCTCAGCTTTCTTAGCTTACTTCTGTGTAAAAGGCACCCCTCAATTTTTAATGTAATGATTTTAGGAAAAAGTAGTGTCTTATAAATGGAAAAGTACGGTAGTTTCTTAGGCCAGTATCTTCTTTGGATTAACAACCTTAGTGGTTTGAGTTTTAAGGCACTTGTGTAAAGAATTATCCAGGACCTCCTTTGTGCAGGTGTTAAATTAAGTACAGTGGGGTCTTGACTTGAGAACTTAATCCGTATTGGAAGGCGGTTCTCAAGTCAAAAAGTTCTCAGGTCAAATCTGCATTTCCCATAGGAATGCATTGAAAACCATTTGATCCGTATCTGCTCTTTTCCGTCCATAGAAACTAATGGGAAGCTGCTATTCTGCCTTCGACCACTAGAGGGGGATATTTTGTTTCTTTTTTTCTTAGGTCAAGAAAGGTTCAGGGAAGGCAGGGAAAATACAGTCCAGGCAGTCTGAAGACTCCCAATCCACTCTCGAAACGCTGGGAGGAGTGAGGAAGCAGACAGGCACCCTTTTCACTGGCCAACAGTTAACTGAAAGTTCAAATTTTACACTTTCCCTGCCTCCCACGTGTTTTTTTTCAGTTCTTAATTCAAATCTAAGTACTTAAGTCAAGTCAATATTTTCCTATGAGAGTGGTTCTTAAGTCAAAATGTTCTTAACTCGAGCCGTTCTTAAGTCAAGACCCCACTGTATTCTGAAATGAATCGCTGCTTGTGTAATGGTGTGAATGGAAGACCCTACATTACTGCCCAAGTAGAGTCTTGGGAGCATTGGAATTGACCAAAAGATGTTTCCTGCCTAATATAGGAGATGTCTTTCTCTGTTAAAAATTATTTTTAATTGACTGTATTCTGATGTCTTGTAGCAAAATGTACAACCCATATGTGCATGGATGGCTGAGGATAATGAAAAACACAGGTTGACATTTGTGACTGCCTTTAAGAATGGACAGAGGGAAAGAACCTTGATCAGCAAGCACTCTATGTTTAGCACATTTACTCTTTTGCTGATACACAACGGGACAGAGGGGACTGTTGTATTTTAAAATCTCATTTCCAGAGTTTATACCATAAATATGCATGACTTCCTCCTTGTAAGAATTCTCTGCTAGAAAGTGATTAAGTGTGAAGTGTACAATGTATTCGCGAAGGTTCCTTCATTTCCTTCATTTTACAAATGAACAGTCAGAGGTTGTTCACAGTCACTTGGTCAAACAAAACCCATAACACTTCTATTCATGTTTTGACCAGGATTTTGAAGGGTGTGGCTCTCAGCTTTAATATTATGACATGTTGCTGGGCTGTCATTTCCTGCAGTTGGTCCTATAGTTCAATGAAATAAGTTAGCTTTTTATGCTAATTAACCTTCTGACCAGGGTGGTGCCCTGGCAAAAGGCATTTTTGGGCACCTGCTAAGTCATAAACCCCAGCAGACAAGGAGTCCCTTGCCAATCCTTGGAGCCACCTCATAGTGCTCTTCCTCTTCCTTGCCTATTCTTCTGACTTCTGCAGGTGAGAAATCACTGGAAAAAGGAGAGATTGTTGGGAGAAAAAAGTGCTAACGGATGCAACAAATCACCTGAAGGGGCTTGAAGTTGGTGGTGCTGTAGTGATAGCCAGATAGATAAACAGGTGGGCATCTTGTCCACTCTTGTCTTTTCTAAGTAGTCATTTGGTGATAATCATATTCTTTATTTTTCCTTCTTTTTGGAAGCCAAGAGAACCACAGATGGGGTCACTTTCAAAGTGGCTACCAGCCCCCAATGCATGGAAGCCAGTTCTAAGGGCTTCTATAACAAAGTCACATTCTGCACTATCTCTGGATTTTCTAAGGAATAAACTTAAAGTGCATATTTCTCCCTAAATACACACATTCTAAAGCAGTTCTTAATATAAATTGTTATTTTGTGCCATCAAATTGCTTTTGACTTACATCAGCCCCTAATAGGGATTTTAAAGCATGCAGTATGTTCAAGGAATGGTTTGCCACTGCCACCTTTCAGTGAGTTTGCATGGTCAAGATGGGATTTGAATCCATCTTGGGTCTGCTGAGTCTTGGTCCAACTCTCTCTGTTATACCACACCATCTCCCTTTAAGACAGTTACTCCAATAATTGTCAAAAGTTCAACATTAGTCCAATGCATTCTCCTAATGCAGTATTATTTTGTTGTTTATCTCTCACCAGTATGAAGGAAGTATGCATACTTTGTGTGGAGTGGACAATTATGCATCTTGCCCAACGCCTCCAAATCTTGGCTATAGTACTGCATCGTACATCTTCTTGTACTGTTTAGATACATACAGCTGTGTTGTTCACATATGCCAGTGATCCTGACAATTAGTAAAGTTACAGCATATTAAGGTCCCATATACAGTAATAGGGGTTATATCCTGTCTCACCTGATAACAAGCCCCCAAATTGTCTTCCCCAAATGAGATTTGCTGGAAACACCCTTGTTTATGTGGGAGAGAAAACCAAATGTAAAGGCCATTAAAAGATCAGATGCAATATTGATGTTGGCCACAATTTACACAGGAGTTGCAAACTCAAGAGAAGCTAATAATTACATAAAATTTTCTCCTGTCCCATAGTAAGTTGCAATATTGAATTAGGGGGGATTTGGTTAGTCAGCTCTACCACAGGTTCCATGGATTTGATGGGTTTACTCTAGTAGTGAATTACTTTTCAACTTCATGAAATGTTTACTAATGCTCTTATGGAGCGAAAAATACGGTGCATAAAATTTTCTCGTGTCCCATAGTAAGTTGCAACATTGAATTAGTGGGGATTTGGTTCCACGAATTTGATGGGTTTACTCTAGTAGTGACTTATTTTTCAACTTCATGAAATGTTTACTAATGCTTAAGAGATCAGGAGCTAGTATTGGGAATGGAAGCTCCTGCATTTGGTTTCTTCTCTTTCCCATGTCAGCTTTGGCTATGATGTGCAGCATAATTCTCCGTGTGTTTGCTTATAGTTGAGTCTCAGTGGCAGCCAGTGGCTCTTGCTCTCTTTAGTGCCTTAGCATTATGTCAGTTTCAAAAACAAACCAGCACTTGACCATACAGTCTTATATATTTATTACATTTATGTCCTGCCTTATCTCCATTGGGGCTCAATGCAATATACACATTTCTCTTCCCCTCTTTTAGCCTTACAACAAACTTGAGAAATAAGTCAAGTTGGGAGAGTGTGATTGGTCCTGGGTTAGCTAACCAGGAATCATGGATCAGTTGTTCTGTATCACTGGTTCTGGTTTCCAGACCCTCTGTTTTGGCAGAAAGTGGGCTATTAGTCAATCATTAAATTAAATTAATTAAGCTGTATTGTGAAATAGTACCCTATGTTGCATGATAGCTTCAATTGCACTGACAAACTACAAACAAGCAGATCTTCTCCAGTGTAGCAGTGGTGCTGAAACTAAGCAATCTATAGGATATCACACCATATAACATATATAAAATGCCTGTTAAGGGCCCTTAACAGATATACTGGCAACAGTAATTCCCAGTACTTTGTAGCTTGAATGAACATGAAAACCCCATTGCAGAACATTTTATGTTAAAAGATTACAGTTTTTAAAATAAGATAAAATACAGTATATTTAAATATGTAAAGTGTCTTGTAATTTGATCTTACTGTTAAAAATTGGGCCGTATAAAATGCCTGTTAAGGGCCTTTAACAGATATACTGGCAACAGTAATTCCCAGTACTTTGTAGCTTGAATGAACATGAAAACCCCATTGCAGAACATTTTATGTTAAAAGATTACAGTTTTTAAAATAAGATAAAATACAGTATATTTAAATATGTAAAGTGTCTTGTAATTTGATCTTACTGTTAAAAATTGGGCTATCTCAGAACGCTTCTATATTAATTAATGATCAACATATTTATGTTGTTTAATCTGTGCTTTTGTTACATCAGTAATATTTTATTGTAGTATTAAAGTATTTTAATACTTTCAGATGCTGTTTTGTGTCAGAAATCAAGAATGCATGCAGTTATACCTTTTTGTTGTCTGATTTTTTGAAAAAAGTTCTGGATAGCTTTATGCGGTTGTCACTTCAACCATTAATTGTTAATATTACAATTAATAGAGTTAACACTTGTCTGTTATTAAGTTAATGACATTAACCTTTTTTGGTGATGGGTTCCCTCTCCAGCCTTAAGAAACTGGAAATATTTGGCTGCCATGCCATTACTGCCAAATGTCTCACATTTATGGCTGTGAAGTGTCCACATTTAAAGGTTCTGAACATTGGTGGGATTCACAAGGTTACTGAAGACTGTTTGGCAGAAATAGTAACCTCTATGAGAAGCCTCACTAGTCTCAACTGTACAGGCCTCAGTGTGGTAAGAGTCGATGATCTCGCTTATCTTTAGCTTTTATCTTTAGTTTTTTCCCAGGGCATTCTCTCATAAATGGTGTATTACCCCTCCAACTATTGTTTATGCCAATTGATTCGCTAGTCTGATGTGGTTTATTTACCTTATTTACTTTATTACATGTTTTATTTATTGTTATATTATTTTATGATTTGACTGTTAACTGCCCAGATTAGTGCTTTGCACTAATCAGGTGGTATAAACGCCATACAAAGGGCCTTGTTTCTGATTAGCTACATGGAAGTTTTTCTACCAGTAATGATTATTATAGTCCAATGATACTAGGAATTCCATTACAGTGGTGCCTCGCTTTACGAGCGCTCCCTTTGACGATGAAATCGCATTACGTTGAAGATTTTGCGATCGCAGAACAATGTTCCCTATGGGGGAATTTCGCTTTGCGATGATCGCTTCCCTGTTTCGGTAACCAATTGTTGCAAAGCGACGATTTTCGGCCAGCTGATTGGTGGTTTCAAAATGGCTGCCGGGTGAAAAACATGGCCGCCTGCTGTTTTCTGGCACGGATTCCTCGCTGCATGGGCAGTGAAAATGGCCGCGCTATGGAGAATCTTCGCTGAACGGTGAGTTTTAAACCCATAGGAACGCATTAATTGGGTTTTAATGCGTTTCTATGGGCTTTTTAAAATCGTATGACGACATTTTCATTCGACAGCGATTTTTTGTGGAACGAATTAACGTCATGCAAGGCACCACTGTACTGGTAGAGGCTTGCCTGTACAATGTAGTGGAAGGAGATACTCCACATGGGTCTTTACATACTTTTTGATGTTGAATCTAGTCATTTTCATTCATTCTTTCATTCATTCACTAAATTCACACATCACTGCACACTGCACAAATCTTGAAATGGCTTGCAAAAAGAAAAATTTCCCCCCATTCCAAATCAATATAGCCAACTAATACAAATATGAAAACAGAAACAGAAACATCACTCAGAAGCACAATATCAAGCATTCATCCACAGTGCCATATCACTATACTGTATTCTTCTCACAAGCCAGAATGGTACTACAATGGCTGAAATCCTGTTGCACAACACTGACTGCAGAACAGGAATGAAATCAGCAGCTGTGGCAGATTGCTGCTGATTAAAACTAGCAGTTTCAGGTGTGCATGTCCTGCACCCAATATGACAAGGTAATGTCCCAAAACTGTAAATTGAAGCCTTTAATCAGCAGCAATCTCCCATTGCTGATTTCATTCCCATTATGTAGGCAGAGTCTACTCAGCAGGATTTTGACTAATGTCTGATAAAGAATAGTAATGTCTGCCTTACATATATTTAGTGTTAATACATATATATTAGTGTTTTGATCTAATAGAGCTTCTGTCCTTCCTATGCTGAGAAGGCAACATGGGGTTTCTTTGTCTAAATGGCTGTGCCAGAAATTTTTGAAGGACAGCCATTCAAATTGTCATTTCCTGTTTTTCCATTCCCCTGGGCTACAGGTAAGAGACTCCGTCATTCAATTTATTGTGAAGAAACTTCCTGAACTGGAATGTCTGGTTCTCAGTTCTTGCTCTCAAGTAACTGATATTGCTGTGATGGAAATTAGCTCTTATTTACCTACAATCAGGTATGTCTGAGGAAGTTCTATTGCAAATAGTTTTGTTCTTCGGTCTTTCTAAAGCGTTGGTATTATTTTAAGTAATTTCAGGGGATATAGCATCAGTTGACCCCAGGTGGGCCAATTAGCTGATTAATGCTTGTTTATGAGAGGGAGAATCCGGATCTGCTCAAAAATTGGTTTCTTAAGAATCAGGACTGAAAAACAAAACAAAACAAAAAAACAGGTTCATAAAGCCTGGTGTTTTACTTGCTGTTGAGAATTCACATACTGCCTTTGATTTATTGGGTTCATGATAATGAGTACTAAGTGCGAAACCAGTCAGATTCTTTTAATGTTTCATAGATTTATTTTACATGCTGTTCTGATACCACTGCCGTTCAATAGTTATAATTGGACTGAAGATACATCATCATTATTATTTCCTATTTTATCTGTTAATCCAGCAATTAGTGGTCTAACATACCATGTAGCAGTGATAAAACTGGAAGGTTTTTCTACCCTTGGTGTAATTCTGCATTTTTTAGCAACATGTTTTGTAGCAGAGAGCTTTATTATGGCTCTAGGATTTTACCTTGTGATATAAAATCAATTTGTTGTAGGTGAATACAGTAAGTGAGATAGTCAAAGGCAAAATTCAAAGTTATGCTTCACCTGTTATTCCACAAGAGTTCTTGTGCTTCATTTAATGTTTACAGCTAACAAAAAAGTGAAAGTTCATTTCCTATTATGAAAGCAATTTCCAACATTACAAGTGATGATACAGAATATGGAATATTTTATATATTATATACAGTATATTACAGTGGTGCCTCGCAAGACGATGTTAATTCGTTCCACAAAAAACGTTGTCTTGTGAAAACATCGTCTTGCGAAATGCGGTTCCCCATTGGAATGCATTGAAATCTATTTAATGTGTTCCAATGGGAAAAAATTGTCTTGCGAAAATTGTCCATAGAAAACATCATCTTGTGAAACGCGGTTCCCCATTGGAATGCATCGAAATCTATTTAATGTGTTCCAATGGGGAAAAATTGTCATCTCGTGAAAATTGTACATAGAAAACATTATCTTGTGAAGCACCACAGCAATCGCAAAAACCAATTGTCTTGGGGATTAATCGTCCTGTGAGGCAATCGTCTTGCGAGGCACCACTGTATATGGAATATGGAAGCACATATTAGGTGCATCTTCTCTTCTTTGATCTTCAGGTAGGAAAAAAAATCACCTCGTATATTGTGAGTTCTATGAGTTCCATGCAGATTTGCAAAGAAGATGTTCAGGCTTATTCTTCTGCCATTACAGGAATGTGTGTTAACAGAAAGCTTCCGTTGTTTATGATTCTTCTATAACCTTTTGTTCATGGTATAGTAAACCACCATCACTGCCTTGAATCCGTGTTAGGATATATATATGTCCTAAATGCTTATTTCCTAGTTCACCATATTATACACTTGGATCATAAACATTTCCTGTGTACTAAAAAAATCCACCAAATGTATTTCAAACATTTTTGCAAAGCTGTTCAGCCAGTTGATTGCTACATCCAGATGCTGTGGTTTGATTCCTAAAGGCACCTTGATATTAATGGCTGTGAAGAAGTAACTGATGTTGGAGTTCAAGCTTTGGTGGGCAGGTGCTCTAAGCTTTCGTACATTGATTTGAGTTCCACAGCAACAAGCAAAAGAGGGTAAGATGCTTGAGCATGTTTTTCATTCATTGTTTTTGAAAAAACATGTAACAGAAAAGAAGTGTAGTTTTTGAAGCAGTAGCTATGTTGGTATGTCCAAGCATATCAGACAAAAAGTTCACATTAAAATATAGCACTTATTCTTTAAGGTGCCACAATGTTTTGTCCTTTAAAAAAATAAATAAGATGCTATTTTAAAAATGAATTATATTATCACTGCAAGCAATAACATTAGGTCTGTTGATTTATCAAATGTAACATCTGACCATTTAATTGCTGTGAATCACATCCTTAAAGGCTTCCTAGAAAACTGGGTCCTTGGAGTATCTGAGTAGACCTAATTCATTTCTTAAATAGAAAGTAAAGGTGGTGCGTGTGGAAATATTTACAAATTTCGCTTTCCTTTTGCTGCAGTATGAATAAATGATGATACTATGTGTTTATATATCTATAGCACTAGGGAATAGAGGACTGATTTTTTGAAGTAGAGTTGTGAGCTTCTTCGGCATCAATTAAAATAAGAAGTGAGCCTCTCCCAATCATCATTCTGTTTCTAACTCAAGTGTGTGTGTGTGTGTGTGTGTGTGTTTTATAGTGTGTGTGGGAAAGCCTCTGTTGCTTTTCTTTATTAAAGAGGAAAGGTTTATTTCCTTGGAGGAATAATAGACCCTGAAGCACAGCCCCAGGATGCCCACAGAATAAGAGAATGGTAGAATACACTTCTGAGTACTCTCTACCCAGAAAACCCTGAAAAGGGTCACCATAGTTGACAATTGACTTGATAGCAAACATTTATTAAGGATGGCTGAATAGCTCAGTTATTTAGGTATCTGGCTGTGGAACGAGAGGTTGAGAGTTTGGTTCTCCACTGTGCCTTTTGTAAGTAGAGCCAGCCCATGTGTCCTTGGGCAATTACACAATCCCACAATGCCCCCAGAAGAAGGGAAATGGTAAACCACTTCAGAGTACCCTCTACCTAGGAAACCCTGAAAAAGGTTGCCATGAGTCAGAATTGACCTGATGGCACACCATTAGTTTATTTAGTTAGTAAAGGGGAGATGAAATCATTATGAATACTTTCCCACTATGTCAGTATAGTAAAGATGAAACAAGCTGTTGCAACTCAAAATATGTTTGATGAAAGTCTGGTAAAATGAGACATAGAGCCTCTAGTACAGAAGTAGCTAATGGCTTGTGAATATGAAAGAGAGAAGGAATTGAGTAATAATAATCTGCTTCCACTGTTAGTAAAGAGGAGATGAAATCATTATGAATACTTTCCCACTATGTCAGTATAGTAAAGATGAAACAAGCTGTTGCAACTCAAAATATGTTTGATGAAAGTCTGGTAAAATGAGACATAGAGCCTCTAGTACAGAAGTAGCTAATGGCTTGTGAATATGAAAGAGAGAAGGAATTGAGTAATAATAATCTGCTTCCACTGTTCCAAACACTAAGAATTTGTAAGGTTGTATCTAGAGATGGGGACAGCTCACCATTTTGGTGAGTTTTCCTGCTTCGTGAGTTGTCAAAAGTTGACGACTCACGAAGCATGAAGTTGCCTCCATGAAGTGCCAAAAGAGCATGGACAGAGTTCCTATTCCAGTCTTCTGAAGATGCCGGCCACAGAGACTGGCGAAACATCAGGAAGAACAACCTTCAGAACACGGCCAAAGAACCTGAAAAACCCACAACATCCATCAGATCCCAGCCGTGAAATCCTTCGAGAATACAATGAAGTTATTTGTCGATTCGTAGGGGTTATTAAAAAAAACACCCCCGCCCTCCAGTGGCCCCTTCCCCCCTCCACTCCCCACCAACACCCCTTCCAATAAAAAAACAAAAAACCACCAACCATTCTGCTCACTGGCCACTGATCAGCTGATCGGCAGCCAATTGGCAGACACCCCCCAGACACCACCACAGCCTATCGCCTTCCTCTCCCTACCTTAGCCCCCACCTTTACCCTTTGCAAAGATGGCAGCTACAGCTTCCCTAGCCTAAAGGAACTCCCCACCAACACCCCTTCCAATAAAAAAACAAAAAACCACCAACCATTCTGCTCACTGGCCACTGATCAGCTGATCGGCAGCCAATTGGCAGACACCCCCCAGACACCACCACAGCCTATCGCCTTCCTCTCCCTACCTTAGCCCCCACCTTTACCCTTTGCAAAGATGGCAGCTACAGCTTCCCTAGCCTAAAGGAAGCTGCACCCACCATCTTGGCAAAGGGCAGCCAGTCTCCCTTTTTAGATGCCGTGGCTGGGAGACCAGATGAAGACCTTGGTAGCAGCGATTAAGGTAAGGGGTGTTGGTGGGGGCGGGCTGGGTGCTAAGGTAGGGAGAGGAAGGGGCTAGGGGATAGGTTGTGGTGGTGGGTGGCTGTGTGTGTGTGTGGGTGGCTGCCTATCGGCCGCCAATCAGTTGAATGAGTAGGCAGAATGGGTTTGGGGTTTTTTTGTAATACAAAGGACGAATAAAAACAGGTAAATATTCATCCCTTTGTATCCGTCGGGGTCTCTGGAACCCATGAATATGAAGTGATGAATATTTAATGAATTGGCTATTTTCATCGAAAAAAATGATCAATTTTTATATTCATCCTCATCTCTAGTTGTATCACTTACTGGAGTTGTGTTTCCTTTGGAAAGAGACATTATGTTTGATTTATTTACAGTAAGTGTAGACACTCCAGTAGATCAACAAATTTCTTGTCCCACATTGGATCTCAAGAAACAAAGATTACTTAATGTAAAAAGGTAAAGGTAAAGGTTCCCCTTGACAATTTTTGTCCAGTCGTGTTCGACTCTAGGGGGCGGTGCTCATCCCTGTTTCCAAGCCATAGAGTCAGCGTTTGTCCGAAGACAATCTTTCTGTAGTCACATGGCCAGTGCGACTTAGACATGGAACGCTGTTACCTTCCCACCGAGGTGGTCCCTATTTATCTACTTGCATTTGCATTCTTTCGAACCGCTAGGTTGGCGGGAGCTGGGACAAGCGACGGGGATTCGTAGGGGTTATTAAAAAAAACACCCCCGCCCTCCAGTAGATCAACAAATTTCTTGTCCCACATTAGATCTCAAAAGACCAAGATTACTTAATGTAGTAAGTCTCAGTTAAAATAGGCTCAATGCATCAGTGGAATGTACATACAGAATAATTGATTCACCAAATCCCAACTTAATATAGTAAGTCTCAATTAAAATAGGCTCAATGCATCAGTGGAATTTACGTACAGAATAATTGATTCACCAAATCCCAACTGATTTAATGACCCTAGTCTTGTTGCAACTTAACCGGAGAGTGCCTATAGCCCAAAATGCTGTCAGTTTATAAAGTTCAAGGTGTTCAATATTAGTTTATCTCTATTAGGTTTTGTCTTTTTTTATTGCCTTGTTTTCATGTGCAGATGATTTTTACTTCTTTTGTGGGAGGGTGTGGGGTAGGGAAATGTATACTTTCACCCCATTCAGAAGATTTAAAGAAGGTCAGTTAATTTTCATTGACATGGGGTGTCCATTTGCAATTCCTGTCACTGCACATGATGCAACCCCTTGTGCTCTTTAAAATCTGCAAAAGGGTTTCCACCACCAGCTGGACCCTGCTGGGAGTCTTGCCCCCTAACTCTTGCTGGGGCAGGAGAGTACTTGCCTGCTTGACATGCGGCAAAAATGAAGCTGCTGTAGATGCCCCCAGGCAAGTACATTGTCACTGCCCAGCCAGTGCTGACGTATTTCCTGCCTACCTTGGCACTGGCCGGCTGATGATGGTTGACATACAGTTTCCTACTACAAACAGTAGTAGAAAACCGTATTATAATCACAAGTACTTGGCAGAGGATTATTCAGTTACTCTGACAGATGATAACATCTCTCTTGCTCTCAAGAAGTGTCCCAGAGTTGATGTTTCCTAGATCTCTCCTCCACTCTATCATGACAAATTATTCAGAAAGCCTTGCTAATAATGTGGTACAAAATAAGTTGAAAAGGAACTTGGATCTGCCACAGAGTGACTGAGATCTCTAGTTTACCTTAAATTTTTTTATAAAAGTTACTATTCCATGAGCCCAAATGAATGCTGTATTGTTCTTGGTTTTATTGAGCTTTGCTGGTGAGTGAGGTGATTATAAGGTGATTAAAAAGCCAAGCTATGGTTTTGTCCATGGATCTTCCATCCCCGTTAGACAAACTCTGGAGCTCCATGATCTCTCTTTCATATTGCTTACCTAATATAATTGACATGAAATTTTATACGGCCATTGAAATGCATTAGGAATATTTCAATTTTTGAAATATCTACATTGAAAAAGAAGGAAGTCTTCCCCCTCCACTGTAATCAGCCAATATATGCCAATGGTAACAAAGTTCTAGTTGCCAGTTAGTGTAATGACTAAGCTCCTTTTAATCACTTGTGGATTTTTTCAAAAGATGAGGGTCTGCTAATTGGGATACAGACTGGATAGAGGCAGAAGAGCTTTTTCCCCCAGTACATTTTCAATTTCCCATCCAGAGCTGAAGAGCATTAAAACTGTGTTTCCTGGGTAGCTATGGTAACATCTCTGTAATTGTGAGCTTTTATGTTCCTTAAATACAAGTGCCATTGGATTATCTGGGCTTCATCTGACAGCCTTGGTCCATTTACTGCTTGGCTTCATTATTTTCAGTTGCTTCTCATTCCACTATTTTTTTCTTTTATGAAGTAAGTGAATTTAAATGGCACTGTACTGGAACATGCCCTCCTTGCAGCTGTTTAGAAAATACTTGGAACTCCAGAAAGATATCACGGTCCATGACTTCAACAGTAACTAAGAAACAGCCTCAGACATTGAGGTATCAGTGGTGCCATCAGAGGAGACTATAAGCCCAAGCACAACTGGAGAACTAAAGATGCTTGAAGACCTCCATGAATCCAAACCAGCATCGTCAACCTCTGAGCAACCACTGTTACTGCAATTACACAACCATTTTCAAGACCTCCGCAGTTCCTGGAGCAGGTGCACCAAGGCCAACTGCAGCCCCAGCGCAAACTCATGGAGAGAAGGAAGAGGGTTAGGTGTCAAGCCAAAGCCTGCTGCTTTATGACTTCCTGCTTTGACAGAAGAGTTGGAGCCTGAGGGCGGACGCCTGGCTCAAGAGGAGTAAAATGCTGCAGCTGAGGTTCAGAACTTCTCAGAGCATACTTCTCACTCCAGGCAGTAAATAAATAACTCCTCTCCATATTTTGTTGTTTGCCCTACCATCTAATACCCTAGAACAGTGGTCCCCAGCCTTGGGCCTCCAGATGTTCTTGGACTTCAACTCCCAGAAATCCTGGCCAGCAGAGGTGGTGGTGAAGGCTTCTGGGAGTTGTAGTCCAAGAACATCTGGAGGCCCAAGGTTGGGGACCACTGCCCTAGAAGACAGAAACCAAAAAATGACCTCGATAGGATGGAACACGGCTGAAAGCAACAGAATGAAATTCAACAGGGAGAAGTGCAAAGTACTTCACCTTGGAAAAAGAAACCAATTGCGCAGTTACAAGATGGGGGATACCTGGCCCAGCAAAACTATGAGCGAGAAGGACCTTGGAATTGTCGTAGATCACAAGCTAAATATGAGCCAACAGTGTGATGTGGCTATAAAGAAGGCAAATGCTATTTTAGGCTGCATGAATAGAAGTCTAGTTTCCAAATCCCACAAGGCGCTAGTCCCCCTCTATTCAGCACTGGGTAGGCCTCACCTTGAGTATTGTGTCCAGTTCTGGACACCAGACTCCAAGAAGGATGCTAACAAATTGGAACAAGTTCAGAGGAGGGCGACAAGGATGATCAGGGGGCTGGAAACCAAGCCTTATGAGGAAAGGCTGAAAGAATTGGACATGTTTATCCTTGAGCAAAGAAGACTGATGGGTGATATGATAGCACTTTTCAAATAGTTGAAAGGCTGTCATACAGAGGAGGGGCAAGATCATCTCGATCATCCCAGAGTGCAGGACCTGCAACAATGGGCTCAAGTTAAAGGAAGCCAGATTTTGGTTGAATATCAGGAAAACCTCCTAACTGTTAGAGCAGTACGACAGTGGAACCAGTTACCTCGGGGGTTGGTGAGTGCTCCAACATTGGAGGCATTCAAGAAAACCTAGATAATCACTTGGCAGATACCATGTTTCCCCAAAAATAAGACAGGGTCTGATATTAATGTTTTCTCCAAAAATGCTCTAGGACTTATTTTCAGGGGATGTTTTACTTTTTTCATGTACAACTATCTACATTTATTCAAATACAGTCATGTCATCATCTTCTGGTTGCTGCACAGTGCTGCACAATGGTGGAGGGCGGGGTTTCACTTAACTGGGACTTATTTTGGGGGGAGGGCTTCTATTACTACCATCCTGAAAAATCATACTAGGTCTTATTTTCAGGGGAACAGGGTATGCTTTAATTGTATTCCTGCACTGAGCAGGGGTTTGGACTTGATGGCCTTGTAGGCCCCTTCCAACTTCGCTTTTCTATGATTCTATGATTTGCCATCTCAGGTGACCTCCTTACTCTATTGAATAGTGGGGCCAGCTCTGTCTTCTGTTAGACTTTTTCCTCACTTGACTGTATTTTGGAGAAAAGGGAACCACACTTAACTGGCTTTAAAGCATCATCAATATATTGGAAATTCTTCACATGTCTTCATAGAGTTCCCATGCTGTAGGTTTCTCTTATGTTTGTTCAAATATCCATGTCTTTTATGGTATTTAAAACCTTTACATGTGCAAATGTTGAAATTGCAGCCATGGCAAATAGCATCTGTAGAGTATCCCCCATCTTCAGATGCCAAAGTGATATTTATATTAATCTTATTCAAAATGAGAACAACCAAGAATGGTGTGTTTATTCCATGGGGGAAAATGTGTACATAAGCAGTGCAGTGATATGAAACAACACAGCTGCATGAAATGTATTCTCCATTTCTTTGGATGGTTATGTAACAGGCAAAATACACCTGGACTCCTGCTGAGCCTCCTGGCTTTCCCCCATCTTGTTCTGCCCCTCTCAAGCTTACAGAGCAGAGGTGTGTACCATGTGGCCTGTGGCCTGGCACTCCCATATGTGCCAGACTTTTTAAAAGTTTTACAATATTTTTTTGGCTCAAAAAGTCTCCCTGTGTCCTCTAGGGGGAATGGGGGAATATGTTTGCCATGTTTTGAGGGCTTCCCAGACCCCTTCTCCCAGCACACACACAAAAATTAAATTTAAAAAATGTATACAAGAGGGCTTTTCCAGTTTTTTTTAAAAAAAGATTATTTTTAATAAGAAAAACCTGTTGCTGGCATAATTAGATGTGCATGTGGCACTCCAAGGTCCTAAGATGGGTGTGTGTGACATCTGGGCATCTAATGGTTAAAATCTTATTGTCTATACATGTATATAATCCACCTATTGTCAAATTATCCTATTCACTCCTACAGTCAGAATGAAGGACATTATGACGTTGAGAAGATGGTTCATTGTGTGTGTCCTAGTAATAACTGCTTTATTCATTGTGGCTTAGTCTCATTGTTTTTGTTGGTCATGCATGCTTGACAGACACATGTGCTGAATATGCAAAAGAACAACTCAGAGTGCAGTTCAGATATAAACCACACAAGACTGAATGTTTCCTAGCCTTATGAGTGTCATTTGCGCCCTTGATAGTTTCCCCTTTAAAATAACAGGCAAGATCTAAACCCATGAACCTTTGTTGCAGGTGGTAGCTTCGAAGAGTTACTTCCTAACTTCCTGGAGGTTGGCATGGACAACAGACATGGGAGTGGCTGGAGCACAGAAGAGGAAAAGCTCCACCTTGTGAACTTGTTGGCATTCCTTAGTCTGTTAATCCACCTCATCGGCTACTATGTAAAATGTTGGGAAGGAAAGAGAATATTTAAATGTGCTCTGATGTCCAAAATAGTCCAGGACACCACAGCTCTTCCTCCACCCTAGTTCCTCCTTTGCCCTGGATCCTCCTGCTTAATCTCCATTGCCCTATAAGCCCATGACAACACTCCTCTGGAAGCAACTTGGCCCAGGGGCAGGTCCCACTCAGACCTAGAGCTATCACCTGGAGAGGGTGTGTGCTTAGCTTAAGCAAATGGTAGGCTTCTTGGGCAGAGACATTACTCATGGCAGACCTATCCATGTAAGCTTTTAACTTGAACTCTACAAAGAAAGTGACAAGAGAGAAGCAACCTAAATACCAGTGGTATATGCCAGTCAGGACTGGTAGGACAGGGTGGCCAATGCAAGAGAAGCCAAAGTCAACAGTAAGGGGGACTAGTTAATTCCCTTCTCCCTCTCTTGCAATGACACTGCAATACAGCTGCTTAACTTTCAGCACTTAACGGAATTCAAGTTAGTCTTACATTCACACAAGAAGGCTTCAACTGAGGAAGGAGTGTGTAGCCTCTCTCCTTTTGTAAGCATGAGGTGGGGAGGCCGTGCCCTACTCACCTGAACAGCCTAGCATCTACTACTCAGTGTTGCTGGAGCATGAAACCATAAGAGGGGAAAAACTGAGATGTAGCCCATGTCACATCAATGATTTTTGTTTCTGATCCACCGTATCACCTATTGTGCAATCTACCTATCTAAAATATGGCTTAGTCCTATTGTACTCCAAGCATGAAATATCTGTTTCATCTGTGCTTCTCCTTGCCACTTTACCTATCAGAAAAAGAAAAGGTAACTTTTGATAACTTAAACATGCTGTGTTTATGCCCACGCTGAGAGGTGACTGCCAAAATTTAGGGCAAAAGCTGAACTTGATTGGTATCCTGTTCTGTGATTTCAGGGTTTGCTTGCTGGCCAGCTTCTGCTTCCGAACCCTGGAGTTTGTGAAACTTAGTTTCTGCAAAGATATCTCCCCGGAAGCAGTTTTAAAACTATGTAGAAACTGCAAAAAGTGAGTTTTTGGAAGATACAAAATTGCTAACATTGAAATTTACATAGCATTCAGAGCTTGAAGATTGAATTAACTTGATCATCAATAAAACTTGTTTCTTCAAGAGTGTTTGGGGCTGTACATGGGATAGAGAAAGGGGACAAGGTAAACTTTCTTTGCCTTCTGTGACAGCTCTCCAGATCATCCAGTGGAACTTACTGAGACTTGATTTAGCAGAAACAGTCGTTCATCTACTTTATCTACCAAGCCTGTAATTAATGAAAGTTGGTACCACAACATACATTTATTTTATTTTAAAAGCAAATTAAACCAATTCATGAAGGACACATGGTGTTCCTTTAGTGCTAAAGTTCAGGTACGAATGTTGATGCATATTTAGCTAAGCAAATAGCTATTATCTTGAGAAAGAGCATGTTTGACTTGAGTGCTCCATACAATAGAAACTGTAGGCATAGAAGGAAAAATAGTAATATATACATTTAAGTGGAAGGTATTTATGACAAAATCAATGTCAGGAATAGCCTGTCAACTTTTGGAACACTGTTGGGGGGGCTGCAATTAAAGCAAACAAGTTCGTATTGGACAGATGTGACTGCAGAACAAAGAAGAAATATGAAATAGAAGGTGTTTGCATTTGTGGAACAGGTGATATATATATACCTACTGACTAGAGAAGATTGGGTTTGGAAATTGAACTGTCCAAAACTTGAAACCATATCATATCCTATTAGTATCTGTGTCTTATGCAGATAAGTACTTGTGTGAAATACTACTACTAATGTAGTAATTTGATGTGCCATTATCCAGCAAAACTGTAAACATTTTTGAACAGGTTAGTCATTGTTAGGCCCTCTCTGAGTTACTGAGACAAATGAACAAAGGATGTTATTCCCAAGAAGAAAGATCCAAAATTGTTACCTGCTTGTACAAACTTGGATTAAGATGATTCAATGGGTGCTTGACTGCAGGATCTTGCATGGTCCAAATTAAAGCAGTGACTGTGAAGTGTTATTGTATATTCCCAAGCAATTAGCATTCCTCACCTTCATTGTTTGTTTGACTTTTCAGTTAGATTCAAATAACCTTTGGTCTCTTTTGAAGTAAACGAATGGCTCAGATTCTATTTAACCACTTCCACATTTAACAAATTCTTTAGCCATACTGTAATACTATCCTGGCTTTTAAAAGTTTTATTCCATGTTGTTGTTCTAGTACCACTGGCTGGGAACAAGGACAGACATAAAACCCATAACATTGTTCAGTTGTAGAAGCACATGTCAGATTTCTGGCATTTTCCACTTTGAGACGGTTCAAGGAATTACTTTTTATAACCAATATAAAAACCTGCCGTTAGTACAGTAGATTTGGCAGTAGGATGACAATCACATTGTAGTTCTGTTGTGGATGCAGTTTAATTCCTCTGGAGGAAGCAGACTGAATATGCCAGAAAAATGTTGGCATGCGTTCTTCAGGCAGAAATATCTCAGGTATCTGTCACTGGATCTGCAAAGGCTTAACACTTTCTTTTCTAAGTGAATTTGGATGATGGACTTTATTGAGAAGAGGAAGCCCCTTTGAATAAACACAATTGCTTTTAGGAAAGAAATATAAGCAAGCTTCTTCCTTTCCCCTTTATGAACTGTCAGTATCCAGGTTACAGATTTGCTGTGGTGCTGGCTACTGGCCAGAACACATTCACAGACAGTAGCTCCTGGAAACTAGGGAGGAATGCTGTGGCAAAAGAATGTATCAGTTCTGAGGACCAATGTCTTGAACTGTTAACAACCGGGATCAGAAATAGTTCTCCACTATGTACAGGTTGGTTTTGTTTTTTAGTAGCAGGCACAGACTGCTATATAGCTTGTAAGACTGCCAAATCTGTTAAATAGGCTATGGAAAGAAAGAATTCACTGTTTGCTTCACAAATGGTTACATGTTAGTTTTATTATCTGGCCACTGTATTAGAATATTAATTGTATCCCTTTCCTGATTGTTTGTATCTACTGAAACATTAAATGTTATTTTCTAAGAGTGTTATTTACACGTTTTATTGAAGACTTGACCAAGTGAAAGGGAGAAGTGAGCAATGAGAAGTTCCAAATTCAAAACTCAAAGGGTGTTTTGCTTCTTCTCAGTTGGAGAGCACTGAAGACTTACAGTAGCTTTGTGGTACTGTATTTCCCTGATTTAGAAATATTTCTGCAGCAACATCACCAATCCTAAACCAAATTCTTCACAAGGGATTTTGCATCAAAGGATGTAAAATTTCTGGAAATTTTGAAGCCATGCAGAAAAATCCTTTTTGGGGGGAGAAGAGGAAGGAATTTTGAGAGGAATTGGGAGGTGGAAATGCAATACTGTAGTAACAGTATCACTCTTTTCAGATTGATAGTCACTTTGTTATTTCAGGAACATAAGATGTAAAATGTATCAGGAATATGAATCCATCCTGTTTGTCATGTAAAAAGCACAGTTTCTTCAGACAATAGTTGCAAACTGAATTTATTTTTGTAAACCACATGTTTTTCCTCAGAAGTAGCTGCAGTGTGCACATGGCCTCCATATGCTAGACATTGGTCTCACTGTTTTGCTGAGGGGAGGAAAAATGATGTAGTTGCTCACTTGCCAGTAAACACTAAACTTTGTAGCGGGGAGGTTGCAACAAAGCATCAGATTAGTAGGGATTAAATTATGATTTACATAAGAGTTAGGACGATAAGACAATGCAGTTACTATATGGTTGTTTTCTGAATTCAGATAAATATAAACTCTAACCTTTCAAGTATATATATACTTTTAGCTCCTGTTTGTTGCTCTATACTTTTCTTTGTCCTTTGAGATCTTGTCAAGAGGATTGAAACAGACCAACCAATTATAACAACAAGGGGACAGCCACAAGCAGAGAAAACAATCTCTGTGGTTGTTATAGGTTTTTTGGGCTGTTTGGATGTGTTCTGCAGGTTTTTCTTCTGAATGTTTTACCAGGCTCTGTGATTGGCATCTTCAGAGGACAGGAGTTAGAACTCTGTCTCTGTTCTGGTGTAGTGTGTGGGATAGTTGAGAATTTGTAGCTGTGGGATCACCCTGTTGTCCTTTTCAGGAGATTGGGTGATTATGATGATCAGGGTTTGTTATGGGTGTATTGTTGTGATGAGGGGGGGAGATGGTCTGTCATTGTGATCGATCGGTGTCATTGGCTAGTCTTTTGTGTGCAGTGAACACTGGTCCTTGTGGCTAGGTAGAGTTTGCTGACCTTTTGCAGGCTGTATTTTTCAGTGCTGGGATTGAGGCTTTGTTGAGTTTTAGACTTCTTTTTTGTTAAAGCTCTGCTGGTGTTTGTGGATTTTAATGGCTTCCCTGTGTAGTCTAACATAATGATTGCTGGTGTTATCCAGTACTTCTGTTTTTTGAAATAGGATTTCATGTCCAGCTTGTTTCAGGGCATATTCAGCTACTGCCGATTTTTCTGGTTGTTTTAGTCCGCAGTGTCTTTCATTGATTCTGGTGTGGATGCTGCATTTTGTGGTCCCAATATATACCTGGCCACAACTGCAAGATATCCGGTATACTCCTGCAGTGGTGAGGGGATCCCTTTTGTCCTTTGCTGACCATAACATTTGTTGTATCTTTGTGGTGGGCCTGAACACTGTTTGTAGGTTGTTGTATCTTTGTTGTATCTTTGTGGTGGGCCTGAACACTGTTTGTAGGTTGTGTTTTTTCAAAAGTTTCCCCATATGGTCTGTGACCCCTTTGATGTATGGCAGAAATACTTTATTTGTGGGTGGCTGTTTTTCTTCTTCAGTTCAGTGTTGTTTTCTTGGTTTGGTGGCTCTTGTGATTTCATTCTTGAAATAGCCATTTGCCTGTAGGGCCCAATTCAGATGGTTGAGTTCAGTGCTGAGAAATTCACAGTTCCAACTTGCATGGTTTACCAGTGTTTTGATTATTCTTCTTTTTTCTCATGCGTGGTGGTTGGAGTTTGTGTACGTACCAGTCTGTGTAGGCGGGTTTTCTGTAGACCTTGTGTCCCAGTAGGAGGTCAGGTTTGCGTATGACCATGACATCTAAGAAAGGGAGTTGGCCCTCTATTGCTTTTTCCATGGTGAATATTTGGGGGTATGCTATTGGGATGGTTTAGAAATTCTTCCAGTTTTCCTTCACCATGGTTTCAAATTGTGAAGGTGTCATCCACATATCGGAACCAGACTGTGAGTGCGAAGGGTGCTGAAGCCAGGGCCTGTTTTTCAAAATGTTCCATGTAGAAGTTGGCTATAACTGGGCTGAGGGGGCTCCCCATGGCCAATCAATCTGTCTGTTTATAGAAATCATTATCCCAGTGAAAGTAACTGGTCCTTAGGCAGTGTTGGAAAAGGGCCTTGATGTCTGCTGGAGGAGTGTCAAAGTGTTCTTTATCAGTACCTTGGTGTAGTCTTCCATGGGGTTGAGTTTTAGGGTGCTGATATTTAGGGTGCTGATGTTTATGAAATGTCTTGAGTATTTGATGTAGGATGAGATTTGCCCAGTGCAGGTCTGTAAGAGAATGGCTAGGTATTTTGCTAAGTCATATGTCGGGGAGCCAATGGCACTTACAATGGGCCTGAGTGGGATTGAGTCCTTGTGGAGTTCCGGGAGTCCATATAGTCTTGGTGGGAAAGCTTCTGTCTTGCAAATTTGTTCAAGGATGTTGGGGTGCAGGGAGGAACTCCTGATCAGCATGTTTGTTTTGTGATTTTGTAGGTTGGGTCCCGTTTCAGTGTTCTGTAGGTGGTGGGGTCTTGAAGATCCCTGATTTTGTCCCTGTGTTCTTCTGTTTGCATGATTACTGTGGCATTGCCTTTGTCTGCTGGCAGAATGATGCTGTCAGGATCTGAGTTTAGGGACTTGATAGTGTTTCTCTCCCTTCTTGTTATGTTGCTGTTTGGGGCTTTTGCTTTTTGTAGGATTCTTGTCACTTCACCCCTTATTTCTTCTGCTTTTTCTTCTGGAAGACTATATGGAAGAGTTTCACTTTAAGCCAAATCAGTTTTGTGCCACTCTCTTTTTCTACATTCAGAAGCTCTGAACTGCTTTGAACTCGGTTCTTTGTTCTCAGATTTGAGCAATGTGGTTTGTCATCTTCTGAAGCTCAAATTACAGCCTATGAAGGAAAAGAAAATATTCCCAATCACTAAGGACCATGACAGTTCTTCCATTCAAGGCCCTAACTACTTCCTGAGTGACCAAAACAATCAGTCTCACAACAAATGTTTTCCCAGAGTGTAAAAGTCTTATGAGAGAGGCATTGTTGATTCACGTCATGCACATGCATCCCACTGTCTCTCCAGGGGCTCTGCAAGGTTTCTTATATTGGATATCCTTCATTGTTTTTTAGGGGCTCATCTGTGGTTGTTGGGTGACTTTGTAAAAATGCATTTATTAATTTAACTAATGTTCTGTTTTTTTCTTCCCAACAGATTAAAAATCCTTCATTTATATGGTTGCTATTTTCTCCCAGATTTGGAGTCTATTAAAAAGATCAATAAAAATCTTGAAGTGTTCCATGACCTGTCTGTCCCAACAGCTAAGTTTTCATCTGAATGATAAACCTGACAAACATATATATATGTGAATGATATGTGATGTCAGTTTGTCTGCAAGGTATTTCAGAATTGTTTTACAAAGACTTACTGACTTGGTCAAGATCTAGTAACCTACTTCAGCTTAGCTTTTATCTATATAATACGTAGTAGAAATGCCAGAAGAGACACAACTGATCTTAATTGTGTACATAAGTTCAATAAACTTGCTAAACATTAGTGAAAATGTTACCCTGATTTTTGTAATAACATGAATCAGGTTCAGAAGAAATTTATTTATTT